AAAATTATGCAGAATGATTGTTGTTGAAAAGAAAAATCCTACATTAAAATAGAGACTACTGAATAAGTGCCATGTTCAATTTATAGATTAATTCTCAGTAAGTCATTCAAAACAAGTTTCATCCCTTGCATTCACTCTCATTGGGCATTAATAGTACAGTGCATAGAGGTCTTGCAATGAAATGAGTAACCTTTCTGGTGTTACCCTTTTAAGTGTAGCACTAAGTAGTATTCTGTGTTTATTTTATTTATTTGAGTGGTTATAAAGGTATAATGATATAGTAGGATATTGCAAGTAAGTAGAAAGAACTGTTGGCAATTAATCAGCACTTCTAAATTCTTTTTAACAGGTTTCCTGAGTGTTGTAAAAGCTGAAAATTGTAAACCATGACATATTCATCCTTTAGAGACCTGCTTTCAAACAAAATCTGTGTAGTACAGCAGAAGAGGAATAGATGTCATTAACTGCTTGGATTGCCAAGGAGTTACGCAGTCCTTTTTCATCTCTTCTAGCAAGAACTGTGTGATGGCCAAATAATTCATTGAAATGTAGGAAACTACCTTATGCCATCTAATTCAGTGTGATATACATCAACTGGCATCAGCTTTCTGGGGTTTCTTTGAGAATCTGGGGATTGCATCTGGCCCTTCATGTAAAGCATATGATTTGTTGCTGAACTCATAACTATTACTGAGCTACGGCTTCACTGTTAGAAGTGGAGCAGAGAAATTTAATCCTGAGCTGTGGACCAGAAAATCCGGAGACTCAGTCATTTAATTTTGTTGTTAATTAGATGTATCCCTTCAACATGATTTCTCACTCAAAGAATTATTACTGATTTTATTGCTGAAACATTAATTAATAGCAGAAGATGATTACTGTAATAATCTCAATTATTTTTTTGGAATCGGGGGTGGGGGGGAGGGATGGGAACAGAAATAAAATCATGTGCATGCAAACTGTAAAATGCTGTTTGGTTCATTATCTCTACGCTAGTATTGTCTCTCCCCCTTAATATGAAAACAAATAAAATCCTGTATAAGCAAGACACTCTTTATGTTCTTGTAACTTAGATAGGCAAAGGATATGTGAGAACGTTTTGCTTTTCATAGTCTCTCTGGCTTCTTATGCTTATATTAAATTCCAAGGGTAAACCTCATGAGAATATTCCTCCCATGGGGTTTTCTCAGAGATACATCCACTTCTTAAATTGATTGCTTGCCCTTAAGAAATTGTTGTTTTTCTCTTTCTTCAGGAAATAAAAAATGAAGCATTCATCTCTCCAGTTTCTCTGTCCAAAAATTTGGTGGAGAAAAGGAGATCGTTGTCAGTTTCTTTTACATTGTTCCCTCACTACTGGATTCCATCCCTTTTGTTCTGACCAAGGCTTCCCGAGACCCTAATTAAGCACACGCTTAGTTAAAACAACTCTTGTTTTATTTCAATGCTGGGAATTATTTTCATTCCCAGCTGGTAATCAGTCCCAAACAGTCCCTTCGAGATAAGCACCCACCTTTCTTTCCTTTGAATTGCTACCAACAACTAGAGTGCTAAATGAATTATAAAAAAACTAACCGAAGTACAAAGTCCACACAGAGCTTCAAGGATTAATCTGAACAGAACAAACAACTGCTTCCTACAAAGGTTTCTTCACCTTTGCCTGTCCTTTATACCTTATGCAAGGGGCAATCATCTCCTGAGTTGCCCCTTTTGTCTCAGTTGCTCTTGCCTTCTAGCAGCTCTGCGCACATGCACACTGGGAACAAGCTCCCTTGTTTCTCGGCCTCACTGCTGTCAGACTCCGGAGGCTCTGGAGTCAGCACCCCACTCCCAGATGGTCCTGTCCCCATCTCTGCTTCGGATGCAGGACCCTCGTCCGAGTCCTCTCCAGACTAACAGATAATCAGAGTTGGAAGGGACCTTATAGGTCATCTAATCCAGTGGTTGCCAACCAGTGGGCCGGGGAACACTGGTGGTCCGTGAGAAAATTTTGGTGGTCTGCAGAGAAATGTCACCCCCAAAGCAATTAATCCAGATTACGCGGGAACACAAGGCTGCTCCGTCCACATGGCCAATGGGAACACAAGGCTTGCGTTGCTTGCATTGTGAACAACATGAGGTAGTGAGGGGAGGGGGGGAAAGGTGGAGGGGGAAATTTGCCCCATGCGCCTCACGTGCCTTGCCTGGCCACCTGGCTGCTTCTTTCCGCTTTTGGCTGCACACAAGGAAAGCAGAAAAGGTCTGTCTTTCTCTCTGCCAGAAATGAGTCTTTGGGACCCTGCAAGGCATCCTGCTCCAAGATGCTGCGCCGGCATGACAAGTCTCACAAAGACTCATTTCTGGCAGAATTTGGGAGAGAGAAAGAAAGACTTCTGCTGCTTTCCTTGCATGAAGCCAAAAGTCTCTCTCTCTCCTCGAGAACGGAGCTGGAGATGGTATCCTGTGATCTCAAATAAAGAATGATCAATTGGTAGGAAAACAGGGTGAGGAATTTTTCTGTAGACTTTTTTGGGATTTTCCCAGAGTCTCTGGTCCGCGGGATTTAAAATTATGATTTTGGTGGTCCCTGAAGTCCAAAAGGTTGGCAACCCCTGATCTAGCCCACCACCCCCAAAGCGGGAAACCCTACACCATTTCTGACAAATGGCAGTCCAATCTCTTCTTGAAAGTCTCAAGTGATGGCGCTCCCACAACTTCCAAGGGCAAGCTGTTCCATTGGTTGATTGTTCTCACTGTCAGAAAGTTTCTCCTTATTTCCAGGTTAAATCTCTTCTTGTTCAGTTTCCATCCATTATTCCTTGTATGGCCTACAGGTGCTTTAATAAAGCTTGACCCTCTCTTCTCTGTGGCAGCCCCTCAAATATTGGAAGATTGCTATCATGTCTCCCCTGGTCCTTCTCTTCTCTTCACTAGACTAGCCATGCCCAGTGCCTGCAACTGTTCTTCATATGTTTTAGTCTCCAGTCCCCTAATCATCCTGGTTGCTCTTCTCTGTACTCAGACTTCCAGACTGGTCCCTGTTCTTCCCCACTGTCCAATTCCACTGTTGTCTGCACAGGCTGCCGGCGAACCACAAACCTTTTGCCTTATATTTCTTCCAGAAGAGTCGGATGCTGCTCCCATGGGATGATGGGAAGGCACTGTTGTTAAAATGATTCTGTCACTGTGTTACTCATGTTGTATGAAATGGTCTAGGCTTGCTTTGATTAACAGAGTCAGACTTTGGAGATTATCTGATATGTTTTGGTAAAGCAAAAAAGATGAACTGATTGGCCTCAACAAAGGATCATCAGTAACTTTGAATCATTTTGAAACATTGTGCTGCAGGACAAAGCTCACCTGAATCCTCCTCTAACATTTCCCAAAGCTTCAAGACTGGGCAGATTTGGGTTACTTGCAATTCACCCTGCAAGTGTGAACCGTCAAACCTGGAATATTTTGGCATATGCCAAGAGGCTTTAAGTTGGTTAGCTGCAGAGCATGCTGTGGAAATGCCTGCATTATGCAAAGGAATCACTCAGTCTGGAAGATTTTTTTAGGAGCATAAAGAATGTGGCACTCAGTGACTTTCTCCCAATCGCTTTCCAAAACTAGAAACCCTCTACACTGCTCATCCATCTTTTGTAAGTGGTCAGAATGCGGATCCAGGCTGGGCCGTTTTAGCACATAGTCTATGACACAGCGGTGCAGTATTCACTGTAGCTGCCCAACAAGGCCATCTTGGACACATACAATGCCACAGCTGCCCAGTCTGAAATGCTCGGCCTTCTCTTACAAAATTTGAAAAAAACATCATCTCAGAGTTCTCCTGTAGTGAAGTGCTCCAAAGCCAGGCAAAGTCTGGTAATCACTTCACTTCACCTCACTTTCAGAAATAAGACTATGTTACCTCCTGAAGTAGTTTTGAGAGGGTGCCTAGAACTTAAGAACAATTTGACGCTATTTTATTTAAAAATAGCCAACACGAGACAGATCCTAGATTTTTATACCAAACAATACTCCTGATAGAGAAATATAGATTTAATTAATTTAATTTGGTAGGCAAAGATTAAACGGCACAGATTTAAAAACAAGTATTGCATGAATTCTTCTTGAATCCCTTCACTGCATGTACATGATATCAGAGATGGACTGCCACAGAAATTCAGCAAGATTTTATGTGATTAAAAATAAATTATTTATTTTGCAATATTGATTATTTTATTATGAACTAACTAAAACAAGTCTTACATTTAATGTCTATTTACCAAGAGCAAACCACATTTTGTACAAGCCTTTTATCAAAGTGTTTATCTTTTATTTTTCCCCTAGAATTTGAAATAAATATTTTTGATACTGATGGCCTTTGGAAAACTTTGATAATGACATCGCTAAATGTCTATGGAGATTATCAGTCATCTAGGTGATGGTTGTCCTAAAGGTGCTTTTTCAAGAGGCAAGTGGACTTTCTGTTTTTTCTTTGAAGATGTTTTGCTTCTCATCCAAGTACTGGAGATGAAGTAGCTTCTTGGATGAGAAGCGAAACGTCTTCAAAGAAAAACCACAAGGTTCACTTGCCTTTTGATAAGGACAGTTGACAAGACTCTTATTGTTTTAAATTCTTTTATAGAAGTATACTATCTATTTTGTTCAAATGGAAATAAATGAAGATGGTAGCCCTGGATGTGCAATCATAAAATGTAAGTTTATTTTCTAGATGAATGTTTTAGACAATACATCCAAGGGGAGAAAAAAAAAACATGATTTGTGTTAAATGCAAAGACACCAAGAGAATTTCCAATGACTTCTTTCTTTCAATTAGGATTGAGACATGTCTACATACTTTAATAGCTGAAAAGCCTCTATGCATTTGTGGAAGTTGAATTATATTCTCATTGCGGTAACCATATAAAGGAAGGAATTCAGTGCACCAAAAAGAAAGCTTCTGGTTTCCCAAAACAAATTACTGGTCATTTCACTGTAAGGTTGACAAGGATTCTTAGTGAAATCTCAATTCTTACATTCAGACTTAGAAAGCAAGGAACTGGTCATAAAACTACTGCTGCTTTGCCAGTTGGAAGGTACACTCTGGATAGCAGAAACATCAGTATCGGTCTTCTTATTCTGTGAGAGAGAAGAATTTTTTTTCATGTGAAAAAGATTGATGTTAATTATATTTCGTTTTATTTTTTGTGATTCAAAATAACCACAAGCCAGGTTGTATGACTACAACAGTACTATTTTAAACTGGCAAAATCCGGTTTCACTGTTCAGAATGTAAATCTAGTAGTTACCATTACATATAATTTCCATCCAGATTGCGTGTCTTTGTCAACAACATTTAGAATTCTGGGAAAGGTCATCTTCTGTATTTGCTGCTGGGAGCTCTGTCCCTTCTTGCTAAAATGCACATAAACAGGAATTGGCCTCTCTGTTGTTCCCACGCAAAGTCCTTAAACTTGCAAAGTGGCATCCCGTGAATTATCTGCTTTGTTGCAGCATGAAATAAGCATTTGCAAATAAATAAATAAATAGATTCAAGGGATTTATTTCAGACCAGAAAGAAAACAAAGACGTTTAAGAGCTAAATGCTTGACACTCTATTAATACTGTCTCCATGCTAACAGCTTAATCTGATCTTCCACCTTTGATAATTTAAAAGCTCCCAGTGCATTATCCTAAAAATAGATAATAGGCTTTTGACTTTTTTCCACTAACAAAGAAAAAAAGCTTGGCAAACATGGGGAAAAATATATTGTATGTGTGTCTAAATGAGGTAGTGGTGTAGTCTCTAACGATAGGCGAGACCTGACCCTGACCCTGACCTAATATGGAGCCAGATTTTCTAAGCTTACTTAGTTCCTTCACTGTTCAAACGTGAATGAAATCCCCTTGCTGAATTCCTTCACTTCAACATAGTGGGACTGAGATGAAAATAAGACTTTTACAAGTAGAGTATAACAAATAGAGAACTTATTCTTTCCGTGTAACTTTTATTGTTTTACCAATGTATAAAACTAGGAAGAAAAATAAAAATAGGAAATTAAGGGAACAAAAAGGAAAGCGGGGAATGAAAATATAAGGTAAAAGGGAAGAAAGAAAAAGGCGTTGACTTCTGACTCTTTTTAACACAGTATAAGATAACAACTTAACAACCTCAACTTTTTACTTTTTCACAATAATATATAACTAGCCATTTCTATAACAACAAATCTATCTAATCGGCAAAACCAAAGTCAAAGTTTCATTTTTTTTTTCATCACAAGCACAAAATCCAGAAGTGATACCCAAATGAAAAAAATATTTTCCACTTCTCCTCTTTGAATAGAACAATCAGTTTAACCATTCCTGCTTTATCTTCCTTGCTGTTGAAATAATATGCATTTCTATTTGCAGTTAATAATCTTTATAAGCTATCACCATTTATGTTAACAAAATCCATTCTATTCTTTCAGATTCTTTAGTCTTAAAGGGAAAAATATGTTTTCATCCATTTTAAAACACTAAATGTTCTTTAAAACGATGTCTAAAATTAAAACATTCCAATACATCTTTTTTTTTAACTTCCTCCTAGCATACATACTTTAAAAGTTCACTTTCAGATGAATAAAACTCCAATTAACTCCAATTAACTCATTAAATTTAGATCACTTATACAGATTATTCTGTATAAATATGAAGCTGATAGGCAATGATTTACCTATCTCTATATTTTAGTGCTGCCTGAAACAGTACTTTCCCACTTTAGGAGCTGACATAAGTCATAGCCCTTATGTTCCATTAGTCTGTATTGACTGTGAGAGAGAAAGAGAAGTGTGTGTGTGTGGGGGGGAGGAAACTTCCAACGCAGAGGTTGAAAGCTGGGAATATCACACATTAGGGCCAATGTGACAATGACTACAAATGTGGCTGTGGATTTGCCAATTCTTATTGTGCTCTAAGTTTTTAAAGACTTTGCTTGGCCTTTTGGTGTCCTTCTATTCTTCCAATGACTTATAGTTCCACTATGCCCCAACTATTAACTTACTAAGTTACCTTAGTTAGAGACAGAACATTGACCTTTGGAAATCTTTGGTCTGACCTTGCAATGCAAATTGACATCTTTTTAGCCAATTATTAAAATTGGCATGTTGCTTCTGTGATTATGCACCGTCCAGAGTTCCAGCAACTAGAGCTAATTTTTTTTTTGAATAACTGCATAGAAAGACAGAGAAGACAAACTTTGAAGAAAAAACAAACTTACTTGGAAGCTTTCAAGTTTATGTTTTAAATATTCCAGATGCTGCTGTAATGAGCCCACAAGTTCCTTGTATTTATTGTATCTTTTCTCGATAATTTCTTTCTGACTGTGAGAATTCTGAAATCAGAAACTTTTCAAGTGAGTGAAATAATTATCTCACAAATGTTTTAAAATAATGGTCAAAGGATCATTCTGAGATAAAGGAGAATAGGCTGTATCTATCCAGGACCCACTGAACCTCAAAATAATTAAAGTTGTTATGAGATTTGGTTAGTATGAAATTTTGAAAGAATTCATATGGGAATACTGAAGTATTGTGATTTTAAAATTTCATAGTTTTCTTTCAATTTTGCCTGTATTATTTTTAGAAATAATTGAAGGCACAGAACATACCTAACACTCCTTCGTCTTCCTATTTTCCCCACAACAAGCCTGTGAGGTGAGTTGGGTTGAGAGAGAGTGACTGACTCAAAGTCACCCAGCCGACTTTCATACCTAAGGTGGACTAGCATTCATGGTCTTCGGGTTTCTAGCCTAGTGTCTTAACCACTAGACCAAACTGGCTGTATAATGTTTGATGACTTTTGCTAGAGTTCACTACTGTTTTGAGAAGGGGAGTTCTCAACTTTAAAAACATATTCAAATGCTTAATATTTGCAGATATTATATGGAACATATCTCTAAAGAAATATATTTTAATAAAAGGTTTGTAGTTTTAGCAAGAACTACTTGAAAAGGCCTCTCTGCTTAGTATAATGTCCACCAGAAACCTCTCTTAGTGGCTAGGCTCCCTGCCCTATCTATTAAAAAAAATTAAAATTAAAAATCTATACGAAACTGGATTGCTTCAGCCTCTAGGCTATTTATTTGCAATAATGGCTATGATAGTTACAAAAGTTTTAGCTAGGCTCACTAACCTATCCATTTTAAACAAAATTAAAATTAAAAATCCATATAAAATTGGTTTGTTGCAGTCTCTGATATATTTGCAATAATGCTATGATACTCACAAAGGTTTTAACAGAGTGGTAGAAAGCATCCAACCAGGTAAGTGTAAGTCTGCTAAATGGATGTCTTATGACTACCAGAGTTCACACACAACCATCTTTTGAGCATATCCAGTCTGGCTTCCCAAAATGCCATGTCTGCATTCAGTCACTCCAAATTGCTTGTATATAGTACAAAAGAACAATGCCAAGATTGAGCAGGACAAACAAGGATGGATTTGGAAATGACAATTTCTGCACTGGACAGATTACAGGTCCCAAGATACATTGCCAGTTTTTTTTCCTTGATAGTTGAGCTATGGAAGGGTAATCTGGTCTCAGCAGGAATGGAAAGTTTTTATCTACAATTCTATTCCCTGGTTTCTATGAATGTCAGTTGTGTTTTGCTACTGAAGATGAGTCCAAATCTCTACGGCTTACTAAAAAGAAAATATTCTGCATCTTGTCTGAGATGTCTCTTTTTTGGGGTGAAATGGTAATAGTATAGGAGAAAGAGAACAGAATGGCCTGAGGGTTAACTGGGACAACACGGCGGGATTTGGGGGTGTTCTGGTCAGTAGAAGTAGTAGAAGCAGGGCCAAATACTTGATTGACTTCAGTGGGAGTCCCAGTTCTTGCAGATGCCATATTGGGCTTGGATGGGAAGATCAGATAATTAACTGTGTTTGTTGGGTGGGGGGTGTTCAGTGGGGTGTTTGAGATGTATGATGACTGCCAAATGGCAAAGTCAAAAACAACCAGAATATAAGTAGTGTATATAGGTTCAGTGAAGTAGTGTATATAGGTTTAGATAGAAAGCGAGAATACTTTGGGGTATATGTAAACAATAGGGCTATAACAATAGGAAGAATAAAAGGGGCAATGGAAGCATTATGGTGGTGAGCAACAAATATATGGTGGGTGACAGACAACTCTAGGGAAATGGATATTGTAGATCTGAGCCCAATCCCCACTTCCAGCCTCCTGGCTTTGTCTCAGGAGCCATATGGCTGGGCCTTTGGGACTTTTGTGCTCTAGCGATTACTTTTGAATACCAGATACTGTACCCATGTAATACATTTATTTTCATCCATTACTTGATTGTGACAGAGTGGACTTGGCTTAGCAAGACCTAGACAGGTGAGATAGTAAGTGCCTTCATTTCAAAATGTGCCCATCCATATTTCATGGATGTATGTGGCTAGAGAAGGTGAAGAGGAATGGTAATTGCTCTCCACAAGGCTTTGCAGGTCACCAAGGACATTGTTTCACACATAACAGGATATCAGGGCTTATTTCTGAGGCACGTTTGCCCTTATTTGTACACGGTAAATTCACAACCTTGGAATCCTCTGGAACTCACAGTTCTGCCAGAAGAGCAGTTAAAAACTGTGACCAAGGCAGTCTTTTCCACAGTTCTATCTTGTATTAAAATATTTCCAGATAGGGAGAATGCTGCTTGTCATTCATGTCTGTGTAGTTCATATTTGACTATTGCAATTAATTCTATATGGGAATAAACTTGAAGACTGTTTGAAAGTTGCATCTAATCCAAAATGTGGTGACCTTGAGTAGTAATAGACTTGACTCAATATAGTTACATCACTATTTAAGGACCAACAAGGATTGCTACTGAGTCGTGGTGATATAACGATTAGAATGCAGTACTGTGTGCTACTTCTGCTGCCTGCTGGCTGCCTGCAGTTAGGCAGTTCAAGTCTCACTGGCTCAAGGTTGACTCAGCCTTCCATCTTTCTGAGGTCAGTAAAATGAGGATCCAGATTGTTGCAAGCAATATGCTGACTCTGTAAACTTCTTAGAGAGGGCTGTAAAGCACTGTGAAGTGGTATATAAGTCTAAGCACTATTGCTACTAAAAACCAGGTGCAATTGATCTTTACAAATATCTACTCTTGAACAGCACAGAGCCTGGAGTTAAGGGCAATTAACAATTCATACAATTTTGGAAAGAAATTAAAACAAGACTCTTCTAAAGAACTTTTGAAAAAGATTAGAATAATTAAACGGCTCCTGATGCTGGTGTCAGAAGATGAAAAAGAATATCAAGTATGATATTATGGGTGGGTTTTTTTTTTTGGATGAGAATGGGTTCTTATTCATAATATATTTCAGTCTAGATTATATAACAGTATAAACCATGCAGAGCTGTTTAGATGAGAATAAACTTTAATAAATAAATATGTTCATTAATATATATATATATATATATATATATATATATATATATTTGTTTTCTGAGGTTCTCGCGGGTATTTGTATGTGGATCTTTGGTTATTCGGGTTTTCTCCCGCGTAAGATTCAAAGTATCTAGGCAACGTTTCGGCGAGGTCCCACTCGCCATCTTCAGGCTGGTGCTTTCGGCTCAGTGCCAGTGCAAGCAGTGTGTGACCGGAGCTGCCATCTCTCTATATATACAAGTGGTGGGGGATGGTGTGCTGGGCTGGTTGGCTGTTCTGCAGCCTCTTGATTGGTTGATGGAGTTGATGTTGGTATAATGGGCTGTGTAATGGCCTTTTGTTGTAGAGATATCCTGGATCTTGTGCTGTCATCTCCTGGGTCGTTAGCCTCTTGTGTTTTAATGGCTTGGGTAATGGGTTGTGTGATGGGCTTGTGAGTTCTTTTGTTGTGGTATCCTGGGTCTTGCGTTGTAATCTCCTGGGTCGTTTGTGTTTTGATCTCTTTTCCATTAGCCTCCTGTGTAGTAACAGCTTGGGTAATGGGTTGTGTGATGACCTTGTGAGATTTATTGCTGTGGTATCCTTGGTCTTGTGCTGTGATATCCTGGGTCATTTGCTGTGTTGTGACTTCTTGAGTTCTTGAGGTGTAATTTCTTGAGTTTTCTGATGTGATGTCCTGAGCGGGTGGCTGTGATGTAGCATTTTGGGTTTTTAATATGGCTTTGAGTTTGGGGTCTGGGTCTGTGTTCATTTGGCTTCGAGTTCGTGGTCGTGCCACATCTTCATGGTGGGGGTCAGTTCGCTTCATGTATGGTTCAGAGGAGTTTGAAGTGGGTAGTGATGCAGCTGCAGTGCGGCTTCTGGTCTGTGGTCGTGTCTCATCTTCTGTGTGGGTGTGAGTCTGATTTTTACGTGGAAGTGTGGTGGTGGCACAGCACACCATCCCCCACCACTTGTATATATAGAGAGATGGCAGCTCCGGTCACACACTGCTTGCACTGGCACTGAGCCGAAAGCACCAGCCTGAAGATGGCGAGTGGGACCTCGCCGAAACGTTGCCTAGATACTTTGAATCTTACGCGGGAGAAAACCCGAATAACCAAAGATC